ATCAACTCTCAGCAACCATCAACCTTCGTCATTTACATCAGGTATAACTCCCAATGCAGTTCCCTCCCGCCCGCCTCCCCAATAGGACCCGGTGTGTGATTGTTCCCCTTCCCCCGAGTCCAGTGATCTCATTGTTTCAGTTCCCACCTATGAGTGAGAACATGCGGTGTTTTGGTTTTCTGTTCTTGTGATAGTTTGCTGAGAATGATGGTTTCCAGCTGCAATCCATGTCCCTACAAAGGACACAAACTCATCCTTTTTTTATGGCTGCATAGTATTCTATGGTGTATATGTGCCACATTTTCTTAATCCAATCTGTCACTGATGGACATTTGGGTTGATTCCAAGTCTTTGCTATTGCAAATAGTGCCGCAATAAAACATACGTGTGCCTGTGTCTTTATAGCAGCATGATTTATAATCCTTTGGGTATACCCCCAGTAATGGGATGGCTGGGTCATGTGGTACTTCTAGTTCTAGATCCTTGAGGAATCGCCATACTGTTTTCCATAATGGTTGAACTAGTTTGCAATCCCACCAACAGCGTAAAAGTGTTCGTATTTTTCCGCACAGGATTGTGGGAAACCTTGACCATATTTTGAGAGCCACTGAACTAGAAAACATACCTGTGTATGTTGATATTGGCAGTTCTTTATAATGCAACTATAAGTGCCGGAACTGGGGGCAAAAAATAAAGGAATTAAGGCAAGACCATCAGGTAATAAATGGCTTAAAAAATAGTTACTGACCAGTCTGTGAACTTCTTTCATCTTAGATTTGAGGGGAGTTGGCTTCTATTTCTGAATTTTGAATATATTCATATGTGGGAGTGAATAGTTTTTATCTATAGTAGTTTAATAAACTCTAATGTTTAAAATATGTTTAAACATTTCATACATATGGAAGCTCATTACGGAGATGTTTATTTCATTGTTTCTGCTCACACTTACCATTGTTTTTTGGTCACCCAGCCCTGAATCCACCTCTACTCTCTTGGCATATCCCACTGCCTCCTACAAGAGGATAAAGTGCTAGATATTTACATCTTCGGCCATCTTTTCAGCCAGGCTGCAGGCATGGGACCCAGACTCTGCCAGTCAGACACCTGCATCTCATGCTTTGAAATAGAAACTAGAGACATGGAGAAGTACATGGCAGCTGCACATTATTCCCAGGGCAGCAGCTAGTTGCTGGAGTTGCTGGTGTTGGTAGTAGAAGCTGTAGAATCCCCTGTTCATCAAGTGATAGAGAGAGCAGAGGTGTTTTCACCAGACCAATGCTGCTGTGTAGTCTGGGGCAGTGTTCTTGGATATGTAGCTTCCAAACGTGATTTCTCTGGCCCTCCTAGAAGTTTGTGTTTCTTCGTTATCCTTCTGTGAATTCAAGAGTCAGACCTTTGCCTGCAACTAAGAATCCTGCTTAATGTAGTGTCTGTCAAAGTATTGTTTGGAAACCTCATGTGTTGGAATCACTGGGCCATATCTGACAATACCTACTTGTGGGCTTAAAACCGATGGATTCAGAATCCTTAGAGTGGGTCTTAGGAAACTGCATTTTAAACAGATCTCAGGGTTATGTGATTTTAGATGCAGTAAAGTTTAAAAACCCCTGTCCTAGTATTTTCAACTTTTTAAAGTCTATGCTCTCTCTTTATGAATCTGAGCAATCATCAAAAGAAAGAATTCTACTCTTTTTTATTTATATTTTATTTTATTTTATTTTTGAGCTAGAGTCTTGCTCTGTCACCCAGGCTGGAGTGCAGTGGCGCGATCTCGGCTCACTGCATCCTCCGCCCCATGGATTCAAGCAATTCTCCTGCCTCAGCCTCCCTAGTAGCTGGGATTACAGGTGTGCACTACCACTCCTGGCTAATTTTTGTATTTTCAGTACAGACGGGGTTACACCATGTTGCCCAGGCTGGTCTTGAACTCCTGACCTCAGGTGAACCACCTGCCTTGACCTCCCAAAGTCCTGGGATTACAGGTGTGAATCACTGTGTCTGGCCAATTCTACTCTTTTATAAGGCCCTAATAAATGACTTACTAGTGTTTCCTTGTTCCCCTCCCTCCCCGGCTTCACATTCCCCATAAACCTTTGCTCTGTCTTTTTAACTCTTTTAACGTCTTTTCCTGGTTTACTTCTTCTCACCGAGAAGTTTTAATTCCGCAGATGGTATTGCCTACATTCAGTGGTGCCAAAATTGTTAACTCGACTTCTAAACTGCACTGTGATGAACCATGTTTTTTCTTTCTTGGGCATTTTTGTAGCCTGCAGGCTTAGAGCTCAATGTTTACCCCAGGGATTATTGGAGACAATGGAGGAGAAAGACTGGAATACAAGAGTAATTTTTCTTGAAGGGTTCCTCCACCATGGATTTAGGCCAGAAAATAGCACTGGAGGTATTGATTGATCTACTTCTGAGATTTCTAGAATCACTGAATATTATAACTGAAAATAATCCATCTTAACCCCTTGTTTCCTAAATGAGGAAGTCAGGAGAAGATCCATGTTCAAAGTCATCTAAGTGATGCGTGGGGTATAAAGGACAAAATAAATTTAGAAGTGGAAAGTGGTGATGCAGAGCTTGACCTAAACAAGCATAAAAAGGATGAGAATTACTAACATTTATTGAATTAATATTTGAACTTGGGTACATTCACTTGACTTCTCTGAGCCTCAGTTGTCTCAACTATAAAATAAAGATTCTAATAATAGCTAACATTGATAAAATATTGACTATATGCTAGGAGCTATTGATACTCTAAGGACTTTATGTGCTAACTCATGTGATCCTAGCACAATGACGTGATGTAGGAACCACTGTTTCACCCGTTTTGTAGGTGCGCAGGAAGTCTATATAACTTCCCTGCAGTCACACAGCTAAGCGTATTTGTTTTCTATTGCTGCTTTACAAATGTTTATGAAATTAATGGCTTAAATATACATGTATTATCTTGCTGCTTTTTGGGTCAAGAGTCTAGGCACAGCTTACCTAGGTCCCCTGCTCATGGTCTCACAAGGCAGCAATTGACTTGTTGACATGGGCTAGAGTCTCATCAGAGGCTTGGAGTCATGTTCCAAGCTTGTGTGGTCATTGGCAGAATTAATTTCCTTGCAGCTTTGGACTTGTGGTAGCTGAGTCTTTAAGGCCAGCAGGAGAGAATCTGCTTCTTTTAGAGGTCTTACCTGATTAGATCCAGACCACTCAGGATGATTTTTCTTTTAATTAACTTAACATTATTAGGGGGGATTCATATATCTACAGTATCTCTTCATCTTTGCCATATGATTCAACATAATCATGGGAATAATATTATGTGACCTTTGCTATCTTCTATTGGTTAGAAGCCAATTACAGGTCTTAACCACACTCAAGCAGAGAGGATTACACAAACCGACAGATATCAAGAGGCAGGAATCACAGAGCTATCTTAGAATTTTGCCTGTCATAGTTCTAAGGTTGAGTTTAAATCCAGACCGGCTCTAGGTTTAACAGTCCATGCTCATAATCAATATGATCTTCTTTATTCCTTTGAAGAAAGCAGACCTACTTTATAACCTTGCATAGAGTTCTAAGTAAGGTATCCCCCAGAAGATTCATACTGGATGCCAGTCAAATGTTAATTATTTTCACACCTTCACTTTCAAAGGTCAGCTTTGAGAAACCATAACCACTTGCAGTTTTATATTTTCAGGAAGAGATTTCCAACAGTCTCTCTGAACACTCTGAACTTATAACTTAAGGTTATATAAGTTATTTCCATTTGTTCCTGTTTGTCTGAGGCAGAGATAACCCTGGGATTTGGGATTTCAAACTTGAGTCTCAAAAAATAACTTTAGTTCTGCTTCTTGTTTTTGAAACAGATGAAGTGATTGAGAAGAAACAGTGAACGTCCTCATTTCACAGATAAGACAGCATGGATCAGCCTTTTACTGTGAATTCTCTGGTAGGTTGCACCAGCTGATATCTAACATTTGGTTGGAAAGCCCAAAAAGAAGAACAGAAACATACAAATGTGAAATGAGTCACAATTACTTTAAGAAGTTTAGCACTTGTAGTTTTTCATCCATCTGTGTGGTTGTCTCCTTTGAGGAAGTGACTAATAAAGCTATCTTTGTAAGACTTAAAAATAAATTTTATTTTCCACAAAAGTCTAAAATTTTAGTTTATCTAGCTAGATTCCAGGAGTGTAGTCCTTTGGCAAAACACCAGAGAGAAGAATTTCAGAGTTGATATCTGAGGAGCTACTTAAAGCTCTTTGTGTCTCAGCTTCTTTATATAGATAAAAATTGGAGGCTCACCTTGTGTGGTGTTAGCTGAGAAAAACATACATAACACCTAGGTATTGCTTTGGATCCTTGTGTAAATGTCTTTGTACTTGACGCTCTTGTTCTTCTCACTTTTCCCCTCACTGCCCAGCACTGTGCACACTTTCTCTAGCTACATCACATGGGCTTATTCTGTGTCCTAGATCAGTCTCTGACTGTGAATATAGACACATTATGTAATCTCCATGGCCCTAATTTTGTACTTTTTGCCCAATGACAATTGGAAACAATATTTTTTGATGCTCCTAGCCTACCAGGATGGTACGATAAATGGAAACTGTCATTCCCATTTTCCTCCTCCCGAAGACCCTTCCCAACCACTCACAGCGACCTTGTACCAGTGTGCAGTATACTAAATACCCTGTATGCACAGAGACTAGCACCAGGACATAAAGAAAGAGAGAGCCTTGTTCTTGTACTGAAATAGGTTGTGACCTAATGTTTTTTCTTGACCAAGAAAGTCCTTCACAGAGCTTAGTTGTCTTCAGAGTATGTTTGGAAAGTAGATAGTTGCAGAAATGTTTTCATTTTCTGTCCCCATGTTGTTGTTCCACTATGGTTAACAAATACTGACCCATTTCCACCTCTTCAGAGGAAGGAGTCATCCTTATGAGATGTCTTCTGTGTTTTTCTAGAACATTATATAACAATAATTAAAATTTGTATTGTATATGTCACTGTAAAAATGAACACAAAGGCTATGTATCTGGAAAATTTGTGTTTTCATCCAAGAAGCTTGCATGCAAATGAAATATTATAGATTGGCCGGGCGCAGTGGCTCACGCCTGTAATCCCAGCACTTTGGGAGGCCACGGCGGGCAGATCACGAGGTCAGGAGATTGAGACCATCCTGGCTAACACCGTGAAACCCTGTCTCTACTAAAAATACAAAAAATTAGCCGGGTGCAGTGGCGGGCGCCTGTAGTCCCAGCTCCTTGGGAGGCTGAGGCAGGAGAATGGTGTGAACCCGGGAGGTGGAGGTTGCAGGAGCCGAGATCGTGCCACTGCACTTCCAGCCTGGGCGACAGAGTGAGACTCTGTCTCAAAAAAAAAAAAAAAAAAAAAAAATACTATAGATTGATGAAGACTTTAGGTTATTTTCTAGCTTATCTTTGAAATCAATTTTAAATTTGGGAAGGATAGGACCATTTAGAAGAGGAAAAATCTATCTAATTTTCATTTTCAGGGAAAAAACTAATTATAATCTCTTGTTGCTTCCTTTTCTCACTTCTTTGTCTCTTTTATTTGATATACTTATTATCACATATGTGGCAGGGAAGATGCTACAGGGAACAGAGATAAATGGAAAGTGATCCCTTTTAAAACCCCAAGGAGTTCATAAGGGATCAGACACATTTGTACAGAAATAATTGTAACTCAGTGTGGACTATATAGTAGTAAAATATGAACACATTACTTTTATACATATGAGAGGCTGGAACCCTCTTTAGAAGACATTCTGATTTTCATAGATTTTTTTCTCTAGTCATTTTCTGATATCATTGAAGCAATTATCTGTGGTCAAATGACAGTATTTTCTTTTAGTGCTGTTGAATTCTATAGGTGAGTGTGGTTAGGGAAAAGTGGATGGATTGCTGTAGGATTTGAGACATCTCAACTGGAAAAGACCGTATACTGAAGCCTGAGGCTCAAAGTTCAGAACTCCAATTTCTGTCTTTGATGTGAAGCCATATAATAAAACGTACAAGGGACATGGTATGGTTCTTACTCAATGAAGCCTTGAGAAACAAGTTCATGGGTCTCTGGTTACATGTTAAACCTTTAGGACCAAGAATCATTTCAGATCTCTAGGGTTCTATTGGCTATACATTTACCCCCAAAGTAGGCCAGATGGCATTGGAAGAACTCCAGATATCTAATTCACTATGTCCTGCCTCTGAAGGTTGGCTCAGTAATTCATGGCCAGACTAAAAGTATGCTTACCTTGACTTCTTTCATAGCTTTCTGCAGACCTGAATTAAGTGCTCCACCCACACAGTAGTCAGACTTGCAACCTACCCTTAACTGACCAAGGAGGCCTTGAGAGGCTAAATTTGCTCTAGGCTCACTGTGTTCTGGGAGCATCCAGCAATGGTAGAAGTGGTTGGTCTAAAGCCTTGCTTCTCAAACTGTGCATGCATAAGTACCTCTGGAAAGACGGATTAAAACATTGGTTCTCCAGCCTACCTCCAGAGATCCTGAGATCCTGACTATAGGTCTGAGGTGAGACCTGTTAGGAATTTGCATTTGTAAGAAACTCCCAGTTGATGCTGATGCTGCTATTACATGGACCATGCTTTGAAATATGCTGATCTAAAGCAGGGGTCAGCAAACTATGGTCTAAGGGCCAAACCACCTGCTTGTTTTCATAAATAAAAATTGGGGGGACACAGCCAGGGTCATTTTTTTCCATATTGTTTATGGTGACTTTCATGCTGAGAGCTGAATTCAAGTTGCAATGGAAACCATATGGCTAGCAGAGCCTAAGATACTTGCTATCTGGCACTTAACAGAGAAAATTTCCTTTCTGAAGCACTGACTTTTTATTGAATAATCATTCTGAATTGTGTATGTTCTGTGCTTTACCAAAAGTGTATAGATGCTGTTTTTATTAATAAAATCCAAATTACTATCACTGACATTTCTTAGTAACATATCATTATTTTCTTGGTTAAGGACTAATTTAACAGTGTAATTACTATTATACGGAGGTCTGAGATTCTTTTTATGTTTAAAAAAAATGGGAGGGGCATCCTTATGCTTGAAAAGGCTTCTCCAGGACTTATTTGTGTTTTTTGGTTTTGGTTTTTTTTTTTTTTTTTAACTCAACGAAGATGCAGAGAGGCCCTGAAAACTTCTTACTAAACAACACTTATCCTGGAATAGAACTAAATCTTTACAGTAACTTGAATCCAAGTTACCTCCTTGGAGACCCTTCAGAGTAGACTGACATGAACCCTATAATGGCAGGAATTCATCTTATGACCTGCTTCACATGATCCCAGATAGAAGCATGCACAGGGATATGAGGGGCAATGATATTTTACCTAACATGACCTGAAATATTTGCATACCCTGGAACTTCCAGATGATTGTACCCTGAAACCTACAGTGAGATCCCACTCCAATAAAACTGTATGTTTACCCTGGAGGTTTGTCTTTTTGTTGTATAAACCATGTTTATGCAAAAATGCTTTACTTTGATCATATCATTAACTTATGAAAAGATTTCCTTAGATGATAGTGTTAGGTTCCTCATAAAGAAAATACATCCGTAATATTAGTCATATCCTTTTCTTACTATAATCAGCAATTAATCAGTGATGTAAATTTTGCTTTACAGAAAAAGTTAGCTGCTATGCCTGACCATACAGATGTTTCCCTAAGCCCAGAAGAGCGAGTCCGTGCCCTAAGCAAACTTGGTTGTAATATCACCATCAGTGAAGACATCACTCCACGACGTTACTTTAGGTCTGGAGTAGAGATGGAGAGGATGGCGTCTGTGTATTTGGAAGAAGGAAATTTGGAAAATGCCTTTGTTCTTTATAATAAATTTATAACGTAAGTTTTTTGAAGGCCTCTGAAGTGAGAAAATTGGAAAAATATTTACATAGTTATTTTGATGTGGCAGTTTGGGTATCAGTAATGTTTTGATATTCAGACCAATTGCACAGTCTCTAGGAGCTTTAGATGTTCAGGTTTTTAAATTACCAACTAATGTACTCACAGGCATCCCAACACCATCTCTGATGCTTAGGGTCAGGGAAGGCAGGAGGCTCCAAGGCCAGCACAATAATCTATTTAATACATGCTTCACTCTTCATAAATGTAATTTATTTTTTCATGCGATTTTCCCCAACAGAAACTGAAGCTTTATGAGAGCAGAAACTACAGTGTAGCTCCACTTGAAGCACCTAGAACATGTCATCAACATTAAAACAATTTGATTTGGTGGTTTGAGTCTGGGGGACAAGTTGGGAGACACAGGAAAGATCTGATTCAGGTTCAGGGATAGGTTCAGGAAACTCATTCAAGTTTCATATAGCATTTATTATTTCTTTTTTAAAAACATTTTATTTGGCTATGAAGAGCACTATGTACAAAAGAGCTGTCAAAATGTTGAGTAAAAGTGGCTACATCAAAACAGCCATATCAAACTATCAAATTTCCTATTAGACAGATATTTGCTAGTGGCATATCCTAGTTGAAGAGTTAACAGAAGTGGGACTTGGACTTGCCTTACTATAAATCTGGTAACTTACTAGTTGAAAGGATGTCCTGTTATCAATAATTATATCTTCTAAGCTGAACCTTCTATTTTTTTATTTTAATTGAAAGTCACATGTCGATTACTTTTGCTAGCTTATTATTCATTTGATTTAAATTGACAAAAATTATATATATAGTGGGTGTGCAACATGTTTTGATACATATATGCTTATATTGTAGAATGACCAAGTCAAGCCAATTAACATATTTATTACCCCACAGACCTTTTACTGAGACAGGGCCTCCCTGTTGCACAGGCTGAGTGCAGCGGCACAATCATAGCTCGCTGCAGCCTCGACCTCCCAGGCTCAAGTGATCCTCCCACCTCAGCCTCCCAAGTAGCTGGGAGTACAGGCATGTGTCACCATGCTCGTCTAATCTTTTATTTTTGTAGAGACGGGATCTTACTATGTTGCCCAGGCTGATCTCCAGCTCCTGGATACAAGTGATCCTCCTGCTTTGGCCTCCCAAAGTCCTGGGATTATAGGCATGAGCTACTGTGCCAGACCCAAGCTGCATAATTATGCAATACATTGTTATTAACTATAATCATCATATACACTGGACCTCCTGAACTTATTCCTCCTGTCTAACCGAAGTTTTGTATCCTTTGACCAACATCTCACCCCTCATCCTCACCCACTGGAACTCTAATAGCCACCTTACTACTGTCTGCCCTGCTATAAATTCAACTATTTTAGATTCCTTCTACATTATAAGTGAGATCATGCAGTGTTTGTGTTTTTGTGCCTGGCTCATTTCACATATAATTTCACTAGCTTAGTCAGGGGCTTAGCCTGAGAACATTTAAGTTGAAAGATACAATATTTTAAAAATTGCCTTCCATGGCTCAGCGTGGTGGCTCAAGCCTGTAATCCTAGCACTTTGGGAGGCCGAGATGGGCGGATCACAAGGTCAGGAGATCGAAACCATCCTGGCTAACATGGTGAAACCCCGTCTATACTAAAAAATACGAAAAATTAGCCGGGCGAGGTGGCGGGCGCCTGTAGTCCCAGCTACTCGGGAGGCTGAGGCAGGAGAATGGCGTGAACCCGGGAGGCGGAGCTTGCAGTGAGCCGAGATCGCGCCACTGCACTCCAGCCTGGGTGACAGAGCGAGACTCCGTCTCAGAAAAAAAAAAAAAAATTGCCTTCCATGATTCTACCAAGGGCAAAATTAAGGGTGGTTTACATGGTATGCAAATTGAGATCTGCATTTTATCCAAGTTACTGAACTTGAAAATTTAGAGAATGGTTGGCAGTATTTACCCTACCTGGGAAAACCACTTGTTTTTAGAAAGTTAAGTAATAAATATGAAATTGGAAGTTATTCTCCACCATTGATAGCCAAGCTTTTCCAATAAATTTTGTTTCTGAATAAGTTACCAATTAATAATATTTCTTTTTCACCTTCTGCTCTGATCTTGCATATGCTCCTATGTAATTGTGAGCCTGGTGAAAGGGAAAAGGCCCCTATATCTCAGAATTATTGTGTAATCAAAATATTTGAATTCTCTTGTGTGATAATTTGTAATTCACTCATTCTTCCTGGGCCTTAGTTCATCATCTACGAATGAAAGATTTATGGGAGAAAATCTCTGAGGTCCCCTCTGCTCTAAATGTCTTTGAATTTATTCTATTTATAAAGGCTTAGATAGCTAACAACTTTTAAAGCTTCTTTAAGCCTTAATTTTCTCATTTAAAATGGGAATTACTCTAACATTTCTGTCTAACCTGTAGCCTGTTGTCAGAGGAAATTAAATGATAAGTATATGTGTGTATTATTTGGTTTACAGAATCAGTAAGTATAAGGCATATTATTTGATCAGAAACAGCATTTACAGCTCATTATGATTTTTCAAGGAAGGGTTATTCATTCATTTTGCAAATATTTTTTGAGCACTTATTATGAGCTGGATTCTATTCTTCAGGCTGAGGATACATCAGTGCATAAAAAAGAATTCCCTGCCCTTGTGGTAGCAGTTTCTTCACTTTACCTGAAAGTGATGCACTTGGTTTCCTGTAGGAATTTCCTTTCACTGCTGCTGTCTCTTGTTCCTCAAATAGTGACGAAAAATAATGAATTCCTAATTAGCACCTCCTAATTCACTAGGGATTCTGGTTGTCACTTTTCTTAGTTACAAGTTTTCAGTTAAGAGTTTTTTGATACACACACGATGGCGCTGCTGGTTCATCAGTGGTCATTTGAGTTTTTTTCAAGAGTGAGAAGGAATTTACATCACTCTTTCCATGCTCTGATATTTTTATGTGATTCTCTGTGTTGCCAGCAGTACACAAAAGTAAGATGGTGCTCTTTTGGGGTTAAGCATGCAGTACCTGAGAAAGATCAAACGACTTGATCTGTTTAGAGAGTACCCTGACCTTAACCTTGTTAGCTCTGGTGCTTAGTTTGTTGAGTTTAACCGTTAATACCAAAATAATACTCTTGCCAGACTTTAGTGAAAAGGCAGATGGAAAGACTGTAGGTAAATAAGTTATTAAATATGTGATTTTTGAAAAAAGATGCTCATTCCCTTATTAGAAACCATGATTGAGCTTTTGCTATTACATAATGCTAAGAACATGTTTTCTCTTTCTTAGCTTGTTTGTAGAAAAGCTTCCTAACCATCGAGATTACCAGCAATGTGCAGTACCTGAAAAGCAGGATATTATGAAGGTATTGTGGGTTTGCTTATCCGCTGTGGAATCAAATGCTCTATAAGTATCCATTATTGATTCATCCTTCCCTTTCCTCCGCTTTCTCTTTCTCTTGAGAGTTTGAGCACGAGAAATTTATTCCATTAACCATGATGTTTCGATTTTTTTCTTAGGCGTTTAATGATCATCATTGAGCCAGTGTGGTTTGTCTAATTGATGCTGGGGGAAAAGAAAGAAAGAAAAACGTTACCTAATGGTGTGAAGAAGGAATTATTTTACAATAATCTCTCCCGGAGATTAAGAGAATGTTGTGTATTTCTCCGAACTTTTTTCAGACATTTTGGCTGCTTTTGATTATTTTATACAGCCCTGAACTCAATAACTGTTTGAAAATTAGTGTTAGTTATTAAGGCAACCACAAAGTTCTAGCTATTTACATCTTATAGAACTGTAACTATAGATTATAAAGTATTGTGGGGGAAGCAGGAGGTGGAAGGCTAAAACACTATCAAGGAAAAAGAGTGTTGCAATTTATCATCATTTTTTAAGTGATTTGTTTATCACCAATAATTGCTATATCTATAATTTTGATTATGTCTAGCTGTGAATATATTCTTTTAAATAAACATTTACAATATTTCCCATTTATTTATCTTTAATAGCTTGTGTTGGTCTTATATGAAGGAAGATAAAATCATGTACACAAAGCCAATTGTAGCATGCAATTTTAAATAATTTTTGAAAAACACTTTACCAAATAATGAAATAAAGGCTTTCCTATGAGTCTTTTCAGACCTGAGGGTGCATAAGCAAAATGCAGATTTTGTCAGATGGTCATCTACATTATTTATTTATTTATTTGTTTGTTTTGAGTCAGAGTCTTGCTCTGTCACCTAGGCTGGAGTGAAGTGGCGCAATCTCGGCTCACTGCAACGTCCACCTCCCGGGTTCAAGCAATTCTCCTGCCTCAGCCTACTGAGTGGTTGGGATTATAGGCACCTGCCACCATGCCCAGCTAATTTTTTTTTTTTTTTAAACAGAGTCTCACTCTGTCACCCAGGCTGGAGTGCAGTGGCGTGATCTCGGCTCACTGCAAGCTCCACCTCCCAGGTTCACGCCATTCTCCTGCCTCAGCCTCCCCAGCAGCTGGGACTACAGTTGCACGCCACCATGCCTGGCTAATTTTTTTGTATTTTTAGTAGAGACGGGGTTTCACCATGTTAGCCAGGATAGTCTCGAACTTCTGACCTAGTGATCCGCCCGCCTCGGCCTCCCAAAGTGCTGAGATTACAGGCGTGAGCCACCGCGCCCAGCCTGATTTTTGTATTTTTAATAGAGATGGAGTTTCACCATGTTGGCTAGGCTGGTCTCGAACTCCTTACCTCAGGTGATCTGCCTGCCTCTGCCTCCTGAAGTGTTAGGATTACAGGCATGAGCCACCACGCCCAGTCAACTTTTTAAATGTCTACAGTCACTTACCTGAAGTATCATTTATTATCATGTCTTTGTGTAGCACTTCCCCTCAATTCTCTTGTTCATTCAACCTCAGAGAGTTCCGTTTGGAGACTAAAGGTGCCAGGCTGTCAAGGTGACTTTCAATTTAGGGTTATGCTTATTTTTTTTTTTTTTGTAGGAGAAAAATTCTGCAAAACCATATACATTTCTCTTGTTTATGCTTATTGAATAGATATATGAATAAATACATAAATGAATGACAAAGGATAAAGAGAATCGAAATTTGGTGAAAGAGCTAGAGAGTCGGGAGACTTGAGTTCCAGTCCTAAATGGGCTGCTAGCTGGTTGCATGATACCAAACAGGACTTTCAATCTCTCCAGGCCTTTGCTTCCTCACCTCTAAAAAGGAAGAGGTAGTTGGGCTTTATAAGAATTCCCAGATATTCCTGCCATTAAGAATCTCTGAGGAAGCTGTTTGAGATCCAGATTCCCAGACCGCTTCTCTAGGTGTTAATTCAGTAGATCTGGATTAGGCTTGGGAATCTGTATTTTTATAAAAAGTGCCCCAGCTATTCTTTTTACAGTCTAGCATGTGTAGAAATCCCTATCCACCATATATTCTCTCACATCCCTTCTAATTCGGATGCTACATGATTTATGTACTGTAGAACGAATGATTGATCTCAAACTCACTGTCTAAAAATGGGGTACCACAAAGGTAGCCATGAAGTTCTAGCTATTTACTTTTTATAGCATTAGGCTATAACAAAATGCTTATCTAATCAGTGGGGCCAATAAAGTTCTTACAAAAGGGATAATAGTGTTTCTTTTCTGCTGGAAAGTTATATTTTGGACCCATAAAAAGGATTTATTTTTCTGCCATCATCTTTGGTTACTCATGACTTTATTTGCAACACACCTACCAGCTGTTTTTCTTTCTCACCTGAGGATCTGAAAGAGTGTATTGAAAATCCCACTAATCAATATGTATATATATTTTTAAAAGAAACTGAAGGAAATTGCATTCCCAAGGACAGATGAATTGAAAAACGACCTTTTAAAGAAATATAACGTAGAATACCAAGAATATTTGCAAAGCAAAGTAAGTTCATTTGGTACACTTATTTCATGATTATTTTATGTACAAGTGGTTTTTGAATTTCATTTTTATGTGATGAGTTTTTGAAATGTTCTGTGCATTTAAATTAAAAATTAAAGATGCAGTGATGTGAAACCAATACAAAATTTATGCTGATATCCAGGTTAAGCAGTTGCACCAACAATGTGGTATTTCTATTTCCCTACAACATCTAACAAAGCAATGTGTTAGAAAAGAGATTTCCTACAGCGATTTAAGTAGAACTTTTTGATCGACTCTTGCCAATATAACCTTGAGCCAGATGGCTGCTCTTTTGCCAGATGAACAGCCAGCAGGAGGTAGGGAGAGCAGTATATGGTTTTTGATGTGCCTAATGATGTAGGCCTTAGAAATGTGAATTTGATTCTTAGAATGTTATAGTCAGGATTGCATTGAGATGGAATAACAGCTAACCATGTGGTTGAAATGTAATTGTATCACCCAAAAGTGGTGGCTTCTGGGTTGTTATTAATAAACAGTGACCATTATGATAATGTCTGAGAGGCAGAAAGGCATTGGAAGAAGAAATTGGCCAGTCAGTGTATCGGATACTCACATTCAACATAGCATTATTATAAAGCTATTTTGCTTTTTTGGTTGTGTTTTATTTGCTTTGGAAGTTACCACCTTCACTGACTCCCACTTCAGTTCAATCTCATCAGCTCTGAGAATGCTCATTGAGCTTTTTGACTTTCTATGGGCAAAGGTGGAAGGCTAGTTTGAGTGGTAAGTTTTAACGAAGTGGTAGAGGGAATGTTGAAATTGGAAATGTCCCTGAAGTGTGTATATTAATAATGTGACTTGAAATATGAAAGACAGAAATGATCTTGGAGGGTAAGACAAAGCAACAGCAAGGCAGACGAAAGCCCAGTTCAAGTCTCCCTTCCACAGTCGACAATGTGTATGATCTTCCTCTGCATGATCTTCCTGGGAGGAACAGGCTCTGCAGCTGTTGCATGTTCTGTCTTTGATACCAGTCACTTCATAGCCTACGGTAGTGTCCCATGTAGAAATCTCTGTGGGGTTAGAATAGCAGGACTGAGCCTAGGAGAGATGAACAGCGATGCCTGTGAGCCCTCGCTTCAGCCAGCATTAGCATCATTTGGAAGATTGTTAGACATGCAGAATCTCCGGCCCCATCCCAGACCTTCTGAATCAGGATTTGCAACTGCAATTAGCCCCAGGGTGATTTGTATGCACCTGAATGTGCAGCTATCAGCTGTGTCCCCTATGCTACCGCCATCTTACGGTAGCTCCCAAATCTAGCTTCTATCAAAATCACTTGAAAGGCTCATTAATACTTCATATTATCTGACCTAATAAGCCTGAATATTTTGTTAGGACTGGAGAGCTTGGGACTCCTCATTTTTAGCAAAACTCTTCGTTAGTGGTGACAGAGAAGGTTGGAACACATTTTAATAACCTTTTTTTGTTTGTTTGTTTTTGAGATGGAATCTCGCTCTGTCCCCCTGGCTGGAGTGCAGTGGCGCAATCTCGGCTCACTGCAAGCTCCATCTCCCGGGATCATGCCATTCTCCTGCCTCAGCCTCCTGAGTAGCTGGGACTACAGGCGCCTGCCACCGCGCCCGGCTAATTTTTTGTATTTTTAGTAGAGACGGGGTTTCACCGTGGTCTCCATCCCCTGACCTTGTGATCCACCTGCCTCGGCCTCCCAAAGTGCTGGGATTACAAGCGTGAGCCACCACACCTGGCCTTAATAACCATTCTTTTTAGTGATTCCTTCTTATCCATAAATTTCCAGCAGAGTATGAGTTCTAGAGTCAAATGCAAAAGGTTCTAGGGCAGCACTGTTCAATAGAACTCCCTGTGATGATGGAAATGTTCTGTTTGACACTTTCCAATATGGTACCCACTAGCCACATGTGGCTACTGGGTACTTAAATGTGACTAGTGTGCCTGAGATGCTGAATTTCTAATTTTGTTTAATTTTAATCAAGTTCAAATAATCATACGTGGCCAGTGGTCACTATATTGAAAGTGCAGTAGGGGTGAGGTATTTTGTTTCATATGGTCTTGTCGGTCTGACTGAGCAAACAACCTTAACGTTGATTTTCCAGTATTTACAAGCATAAGGGAATGGAGGGATCCTGATTGTCATGGCCTGTCTCTGGTGAAATATCAGTGGATTTAGAACTGCTATCTTAATCAGATCAAGGGGCTTTTGCCCTGATGTTATGTATTTCTCTCACTGTTCCCTGAGTGTCCCTGTGGGTATATCACAGTATCTAGCCTTTTCTCTGTCTGCTTGAAGACTGAAAATGTCTAATTCCAGTTCAATGTTTTTCCTTGGACACTAACCTTCTCTTCTGGCTGCCACACTTTTTAGAACAAATATAAAGCTGAAATTCTCAAAAAACTGGAGCATCAGAGATTGATAGAGGCAGAAAGGAAGCGGATTGCTCAGATGCGCCAGCAGCAACTAGAATCGGAGCAGTTTCTGTTTTTCGAAGATCAACTCAAGAAGCAAGAGTTAGCCCGAGGTCAGATGCAAAGTCAGCAAACCTCAGGGCTGTCGGAGCAGATTGATGGGAGTGCTTTGTCCTGCTTTTCCACACACCAGAACAATTCCTTGCTGAATGTATTTGCAGATCAACCTAATAAAAGTGACGCAACCAATTATGCTAGCCACTCTCCTCCTGTAAACAGGGCCTTAACGCCAGCTGCTACTCTAAGTGCTGTTCAGAGTAAGTGATGAAATAAATGCACCCCCGTGAGACACTGAGGCTCATCGGATGGAACCATATTTCTATAGCATCTGGGAGGGTCTTCCTCATTTCATTACTAATTGTAGTAGGACCCCTGCATAATATGGTATGCATGACAGAACTAACCTTTCAATACTCTCTGGCTTTTACTATATATAACCTTAAAATTCAGGAAATATGATGCCCCCGATAGAGCAGAGACTCAATCATAAATGGGAAGTATTTTATCATTGAACAGAGATTTTAAATGAGAAGAATTTCAAGTCCTTTTGTCTTCTATGTATTTTAACTAAGAAATACATACATCTTAAATACATCCATCTTTCTGGAGAGAAAAGGTGTTGAGAAAATTGTTTATCCAGGACTTTGCTCAGCAGTAAATGTTTATACTCGGTATGCTTAGCATCATCCTTGGACTGAGGGAATCTCATACACATAGATAATTAACCTCCAAATGGCCTGTGTGTTTCTGCAAGAATTAGTGCTGCTCCGTACTGCCAGATCAGTGCTGGCAGGTTTCCAAAATACAGAATTCTTCTTCACAGACACTGTCAGATGGAATTTGTGTTCCCATTTATTTGAAATGAGTGATAATAGGCGACCATTTTTAAAGTTACTTTACTGCTAATTGTTTACCAAAACATTGTGCTTTGACTTGCTGATCACCAACTTTCATAAAGATATAAGTAACGTGGTAAACACAATATTTATCATATGTCTTATGGGGTATGAGATGCATTCTACACAGCCTATGCATTTAACCGTATATTTACTTCCTGCCAAAAGATAAAATAACATGTAAGTAGTTGACCCAAGGTACAAATATGTAAAAGTGCTGGTACCTCCTCACTTTGCTTATAAAATAATTTATATACATAATTTAATTTTACTTCTAGTTAATGTTTACTTCTAAGAGTTTTAAAATAAAATATGCAAAGTGGAACACCTGATACTTTTATTTTTGAAATTTATGTCCAACTGCGACTGCTTGCCAAAAGCAATTTTGAAAGATGGGACATACAGTTCGTTTTTTAGCCTTTTCTCCCTTTTTTGTTTCTTAGATTTAGTGGTTGAAGGACTGCGATGTGCAGTTTTGCCAAAAGATCTTTGCCACAAATTTCTGCAGCTGGCAGAATCTAATACAGTGAGAGGAATAGAAACCTGTGGAATACTCTGTGGAAAACTGGTATGATCTTTATATTTATATATATGTATCTGCATAGGATACTTTTAATAGTACTAGATTTCTTCTGATAAGTGGAACAGAATAAAAGCATGCTAAGAGTTATAAGTATTATGAAATTAACATTACACAAATTAACTTTATAAAACTACTGTCATTATTAATGGAATGATCCTTCTAGAAAATAGATTGTAAAATTTCAGAGACTCTATAAAAACTTGTCCTAAAGATCAACCTATAAATCAAATCTTTGATTAGAAAAATGGTATGAAATATAGGTCTTCAGATTTCCAAATCTATCTGGTTGCCAAATCAAATTTTCATTGCAATTGTTAGCTTCACATACATTCGTATAATTAACTTAATCTGTGGCATGTATTATCTTGCTGTCCTTTTTGAGAAACACACGGAATAAAACTAGGATTTTGTTGTTTCCTTTAGTTTAAGGCAGTAGTTTCAACAAAAGCGTATAGGCACAGGACATATTTAATTATGGAAGATATCATAAGTATGTGATGAAAGACAATGTCATAATAGAAGGAGATGAAAGAAAGGAGATGCATTCAATTTCCTATCTACAACAAAGATAAATAATGTTTCTTTGGGCGTGTCCTTTCATAGTCTGTTTTGAGTGCTAGTTTATATATCTGGGTCCAGGCATATTTTCAGTCCTCAAAATTTAGCTTAGGAACCTCTGCTTTATTGAATAATACTACATTGTATTCAATACACAATCTCCTCCTGCATTCCAGTATTCTGTCATCTCTTTCCCTCCAAGATAGAGGAAGCCATTGGTGGCAAGCACAGGAGAATGGGCATCTACAGTCACCTCTGTTGCACTTAAGGAGACAGTGTGCTATTGAAACATCCACCCCCACATCCTGTGTTGTATTCAGATTGATTTATTGATTCATTTGTGATTCGTTCACTCCGTTGTCAGACAAACATTTACCGAATATCTAAATGTGCCAGGCAGCGTGCTGGGTATTAGCAGTGGGTGTCCAGCAACAGCCTGCCTCACGATACTTACGATGCTGTGAAGACCCAGACAGATGACTAATGATAAGTGGGGCTGAGTGCTGTCTGTGCAAGTGCAGGGAATCATGGGAGTGTGTAACTGGTAAATCTAACCTTGTCTGAAGGGTGGAGAAGGGTTTCCCTGAGAAGTGATGTTTGAGCTAGGCCTGAAGAATACATAAAGGAAGAGGTTGGATGGAGGGAAGAGTTGAAATCAGGGCAAAGGAGCAGTGCATAGTGTGCAGGAAAGCCCTAAGGCTAGAGAGAGGATGGTCCTCTGGACAGAGAAAGGCCAGCCTGCCTGGGGGAAGACAGCCTCTCACTGCACAAACATCTCTTCTTTCAGGATCCCATGGCACTTCACAACCCTCTTCCTCTCAACTCTTACCTTTTGCCTAAGGGGAATAATTTGTTTTTTCCTTTCTCTTTATCTGATTGCAAATCCAAAACATTATCTTAATTACAGAAGATCCTAGTGAGTCCTCGCAACATTCGAAGAATGTCTTAAATCTTGAGGTGACATTAAATATAATTAGTAATATAAAAACAAAACCATCAACCTTCACAACCCTAAGAAATGCCTTTTGGTAACACCACAAAATTATTTAACTAGTATCTCCCCCTCCAAACAAATCTGTCCTTGTTTTGTTCAGTTTTTCCATTACAGCTATATCAAGACATCATTTATTAACTAAACTTCCACAGAAGCCTGACATGCAAATTCCTATTTATGTTATGTTTTCTATTGTGAAAGTGGGTTTCAAGCTACAAACAACTGAGTCTCAAACTTTTGGCAAAGAATCCATTTTTACTGTTGGGACTTGTTTTTGAATTGGGAACGGTTGTGTGTCCCGGTACAGGGAGGGATAATGTAAGTGGTCCCTGTACCTAGACACACACCCCTATTGGCGGACTCTTTAGTCTTAAACATTGCACTTCCTGTTCCGTTGTTTTGTGTGTGTGTGTGTGTGTGTGTGTGTGTCAGATGCATGTCATTCTTTCTGCTACTTGTTTTTTAGACACATAATGAATTTACTATTACTCATGTAATTGTGCCAAAGCAGTCTGCGGGACCAGACTATTGTGACGTGGAGAATGTAGAGGAATTATTCAATGTGCAGGATCAACATGATCTCCTCACTCTAGGATGGATTCATGTACGTTTGACCTTTTGGGTTTCAGTTTATTTTTGTGTGGCATGCTATTTTCCTCCTTGAAAAAGTTTAGCCTCTTTTAAATAGCTTCTTCTTTTTAAATTTTTCAAATGTAATAAAGGTCATCATTTAAGTAGTGGTTCTCAAGCGGAGAGAAAAGAATAACAGATATTAAAAAAAAATAAAGTTCATCATATTATGGCATGTTTTTCAGTGTTAGACTGTGTCTAAATCTGTCAAATCTGGATTTGGAGAATGTGTATCTTTTGCTTTTTCGTATCATCTAAAGTTAAAAGAGGTAGGAAGAAAGAGAGTAACACTTGGAAATCAGGTGATTTGTTTTAGATGATTTTACATAGCCTAGTGAAGGCTTAGCCAAATTGTTAACTGATTTGGCTACACAACTATTAATGTGGGTCTAAATTAGATTATTTTAAGAAAATATCTGAAAATGTTTCTTTTAAACGTGTTTGTATGTATCAGCTACACTTCCTGACACCCCTCAGATAGGCAAACGATGTATGCATCACTATATAAACAGCCACAGAGTAAGGCAAGAGGATAGGGCCCAAAACATTGAATTCCAACATCCACCAGGCCATCATAGGAGCAAGTCAAATAGACATGAGGTTAAATCTTGGCTGTGCTAAGAATTTACTGTAGGGGCATTGGCAAGTTATTAAGCAATCTGAGCATCAGTTTTATCATCCATAATATGGAGATCGTAATACTTGACTTCACAGTATATTTCATATTAAATGAGATACTATTGGTGAATTTCACAGCACATTTTTTGAGGGACTCAGAAAATTGTACGTATTATAATTGGTGATAATAATCTATCCTTTCTAGCCATAGTGCAATCCAGCTGAGGGAAATTTTTTCCATTCAGTCTCACATAAGCTGGATCTAGGATAACGTCTTGGTGTGTTTTTGCTGCTATAACAAAATGCCTGATATAGGGTAATTTAAAAAGAACAGAAATTTGTTTTGTCTGGTCCTAGAGGCTGGGAAGTCCAAGATCAAGGCACCAGCATTGGTGTCTAGTGAGGGCTGCTCTCAGCTTCCACAAGCAGCCTTCACTAAACACCAATGGCACCTTGTTGCTGTGTCCTCACAGGGTGGAAGGCAGAAGGGCAAGAGAGCACTCCCTTCAACCTTAAGCCCTTTCACAAGTGTCTTAATACCATTCATTAGAGTGGAGCCTTTGTGATTACTCACCTCCCAAAGACCACACTTCTTAATACTGTTGCATTGAGGATTAAGTTTCATCATGAATAGTGGTGGAGACCCCACCATTCAAACCATAGCAGACTGGGATAAGCCATCCCTCTAAGATGGGATACTGGCCAAGAAAATTTCCAGGACGCATTCTGGGGACCTCCAAGTGCCCTTGAGGAATGATACATGATCATTTTTACTTGCTTTATAGAGAAGCACTGGGGAGGGGCAGCATCCACACACACACACACACACACACTTCCTAAGCATTTGGTATTATGCAGTTCTGGAGGGTACAGGAGACTTTAGTCCCAACTCCACCTGTAAATTATTATGTTCTATCAGTCAGGACTTCTAGCCTAGTTTCCAGATTCCCTCATTGGCTGAGTGAGGTTCATGAATGCCTTCTCTCCTCACTGGATTTCTGTGAACAGGAAACAAGATACCAGGTGTGAAAACTCTTTGAAAAGTATAAACTGCCTCTCAAATGCAAGAAATTATTTATAATGAAGAGTTTGTAAAACTCTACATATGTGTATTTGCTTTACTTAACAGTAAGTAATATGCATTACAGTTTGCCTGGAAATTGCTATATTATTTAGCTTAACATGATTTCTGTAAAAAGAATGCCTTATTTAGCTTGACATGATTTCTGTAACAAGAATGCATTTTAAAGCAAAACAAATTCTAGCAAGAATGACAGTCTATTAAATTATGCATTTACATTGACAAGTCAATGTTAGTTTATCTCACAAAACATTTTCCAAATTAGAAACAAAAATTTTCGCCTTATGAGCTACTGTGAACATAATGCATGCAATTATGAAGGTAAGTTGTTTAATAAGTTTAGCATAATTATTGAATTCTAGGACTTTTTGTTAAACTCATTTCACCATATCAAATTATTGTGGTTGGATGAAAATACAAAAATGTTACATTTCTAAACCTCAGTGATTGTAATGACTTTTTATGATGTTTTTTATCAAGTGTAATAATAGCAACAAATTCCAGAGCTGGCTTTTTTCAAATACAAATTAAGTCATCGGGAAAAAAGGTCTGAAATATAATCAGACAGACATGTATTTGAATTTGGACTTTTTGGTTTAACTAGCTTTATGAGCATCCACAAGTTACTCACTTTCTTGCTTACCTCAGTTTCCTCACCTGCAAAATGGAGATAATAATAGCACTTGTTGCTGTGAGAATTCAATGATATGACTCATGGAAAGTGATTAGTTCACATTATACAGTTGCAATAAATGGCATCTGCTGCCATTGTTATCATTGTCATCATCATTTTCATTTCCGTAGAGTGAGGGAATGGGAGCCTCATTCTCCCATGGGAAAACTGTTCTCATTGGAATAGACATAATTCCTTTTGGCAGAAATGAAGGACTCAGGTCATGTGGTGTGCATTCCGTGTGGAAATAAATTGACAAGCAAAGTGATTTGTCTGTATGATAACCTGCTTGCCGCCTCCACAGCACTATAGTTTCTTTGAACAATTTTTAATTTCTCACAAAGACATAGAAGCCTCTATTTTACAAAGAGAAGGTGTTCCTTGTAAGATAACAGGCTGTCAGATACTCCCACTCGTACCCCCTACTGAAGATTTGCATTTTAAAAGTTAGGATAATTTCCATTCCTTTGTCGATCTAAGTTTTTATAGGCCAAGTGTTATTTTTTCCTTGCAGAACATGTAGCTTTCTGTAAATAATCATCTGATTTTGCCTTCATTCTATTAAAGCAGAAAAAAACTTTTTCTTGCTTTTTTTTTCTTTTTTTTTTTTTTCCCCAAGACAGAGTCTTGCTCTGTTGTCCGGGCTGGAGTGCAGTAGAGTGATCACAGCTCACTGTAGCCTCAGCCTCCCTGACTCAAGTGCTCCTCTCACCTCAGCCCCCTCAAGTAGTTGAGACTACAGGCACATGCCACCATGTCTAGCTAATTAAAACAACTTTCTTTTTTTTTTGGTAGAGATGGAGTCTACCTATATTGTCCAGGCTGGTCTTGAACCCTTGGGCTCAACTGATCCTCTCACCTTGGCCACTCAAAGTGGGGATTACAGGCATGAGCCACTATGCCTGGCCTAAAAATTGTTTTAAAATCTTACATTTCTTTAATAGAATATAGTTGTGTGTAAAGACATTTAGCTACTACTATGGATCTGTGCCTTTTAGTTAATAAAGACATTAAAATAACAACAGCAATAACAACAGCTAATGACTTTTATTTCTATGTGCTAAGCTCTGTTCCAAGAATTTTAATGGACTGTCATATTTCATCTTCATAACAATCCCATGCAGAAAATATTATCCCAATTTTACAGATGATGAAATGGGCAAGAGAAGGCTAAGTAATCTTCACAGTGTCATATAGCTAGTGAGTAATGGTGTCAGGACCTAGACAGTGGTGCCATGAATCTTTGTTTCATGATTAAAATAGTCACATTCTTTTTTTCAAGAGTAATTAGGGTTTAATATGAATTTTTAAAATAACTAGATGTGCATTTATTTTTTATATTCAAATATGAACCTCTGATTGACCATGCATAAACACATTTGTATGTAGCCAGAGACTTGGCAGATTTCTTTTAATTTATAATCCCTCTTTTATCCTCCCCATATATTTAGTTGCTATGCAAGATTAGTCCCAAATACCTTTAACAACTTGGAGTCTCCCATTCTCCCATTTATAGGAAATGGCAGTCCACAAAACGATACACAGCAACATGTGGTCTATTTAGTGAAAACTTCCTTTTAATGTTCCTAATGTTGTATATACATATCTTGTGTCCAGGGTTTCCAATCACAGCTCTGCTCCTTACCAGCTGTGTGACCACAGGCGCATTATGTAACCTCCCTTAGTTTTGGGATCCTTGTATGTAAAATTCAGATAATAAAATAAGTATCTCATAAATGAGTTGTGATAATGCTCTAAGAATCTATTTAAAGCCCCTAGCAAATTAATTTCCAGCTCTTTCTATCCCCAAAAGAAGAAAGTACACCAACACTTCTAGGAGCCTCTTCTCAAAGTCATAGTTACTCCAAAATAGCAAATAATAGGAATGCATAAAGGGAAGGATCATGTCAGCAAAACCTTTTTAAAAATCCCTTATTTGATTAATGGTTAAAAATAATTTTTTAAAAAACAGAATTTTCTATTAAAATAAGCTGTGGCCTTGCCTAAGACAGCTATCCTAGTAAAATTGTCTTCTTTTCTATTTATAGACGCATCCCACTCAAACTGCATTCTTATCCAGCGTTGATCTTCACACTCACTGTTCCTATCAACTCATGTTACCAGAGGCCATTGCCATTGTTTGCTCACCAAAGCATAAAGAGTAAGTGTGACTCTTCAGGGGAGCCCAAAGAAGGCTTTGTCTAGGGCTGCTGGGTTCCTGTGTGTCCAGACACCAGGTTGTGGTACTTGGATTGGCAAGCACACAACACCCTCGGGAAAAAGAGATGGGTGGCAGTCAGCTGCCATCGACCTGTAGCTCTGCAGTTTAAGGTCCATTCTGTGGCAGAATTACTGATTTTCTTTCTTCAGTTAGCGTGACCTTGAAGTGAATAACATTTAAGAAGGATGCTATCCCAGTTAGCCTTTTTAGGACTCATTTCTACTGTATTATGTTCTACCATAAGAAATGTTCTAGCCTTAGCTGAGAAAAAACCTTTCTAGCTTTGGAGACACTGATTATTGTAGAGTAGTTATGAGCATGGGAATCAAACAAACATATGGAAATCATGGCTCCACCCCTCAAGTGTTGTGTTAGGCAGGATACTTGACCACTGTAGGCCTCTGCCTCTTCATCCCTGATACCTGCCCATCAGGGATGGATGTAAAGATGAAATTAGATAATAGCCTATGTACAGTGCTTAGCATAGTGCCTGGTACCGCAGCAGGCACTCAATACCTATTTGCTATTGCTATAATCTGTATTAACATTATTAGAAGAATTCGAAATATCTGCCACTTGTAATTTCCTCTCATGGGACTCTCTGGTGGGGCCTTGGCCTTTCCTGTGGGGTCACGCACAATAGCTTATTTGCCTTGTCCGCTTAACGATCCTGCAGGCTCCTAGCAGCAGCATTGCCTCCTCCTGGGTTTCTCTCCTCTGGGCCAGTCACTGGTTAAAAAAAAAAAAATCACTATAGAATTCCTAGTTTGTGAGTTCTCAGTCCCATTTGAGGAATATGTATGTGTGTGCTGTTCAAATAAAGCATCTGGAATGCCCAAATGATCCTTAATTTTTCTACCTGTTTTCACTCTGAAATTTAGCACTGGCATCTTCAGGCTCACCAATGCTGGCATGCTTGAGGTTTCTGCTTGTAAAAAAAAGGGCTTTCATCCACACACCAAGGAGCCCAGGCTGTTCAGTGTGAGTACATCATATTAGTTATTTTTCCAGGTATTTCTTATTCACTGCCCCCCCAACCTGTTTTTAAATAAATAGTAGCAGTCTAATATAAGATAAAATACTGTACTGCTTAGTTTGGAGTTTCATCTCAGAAAATTAATCTATCGGCATACTTAATTTCTGATTTATTCTCAAAATAATTGTATTTACAAGGAAACATCAATATTTCTATAGCAGAATTAATGGTGCACAAAGTTACCTTTCCACTTCTATATATGTATGATATTTAAAAGTTTTCTTCAGAGTCCAAATAAGTAAACAATTATGATAGAAAATGGCATTTAAAATGTTGCATGAATTCTTTCTGCTTGATATGGCCAAATTAGTTTTTTCATAGCAATTGTATGAAAACTACGATCATACTTCTTGATTACTTTTGCATAGTCCAAAAGAAACATTTGACTACGCCTTTTTTTTCCCCTAATTTTTTGGCGGTTCTGTGGCTGTAACATCAGAGAACATTATATTGAAATTAGCATTTACTTAAAATGAAAATTATTTGGCAACCCCTGTAAATATTTTTGTTTTTGTTGAAATTAATAAATGTGATTGTATAGCTTCTGATTGGAAATATTTTAAAAATCAGGAACAATTTAAAATTAGGAAATCTATACTCCCTCCCTAAAGAAAATCATATGGTAAACATTATGCTAAAATCAAACATATAGTAAAACCAATTTTTTCTTTCCTAGATATGCAAACATGTGTTGGTAAAAGACATAAAAATAATTGTGTTGGATCTGAGGTGATATGTTCTGAATGTAAGCACCGTCAACATCAGACACCTACTCACGGACATGTGGTTGCCGGATTTTCTTAAGATGTTTCCAGAAATGACTGATATTTTATATTTATACATTTTAGATCAGAAAGCTTGATATTTATTGCTGTTGCACATTTTGAAGTTTTCTTTTTGGGTTGCTCTGTGTTAAGAGAGGTTACATGGTGTTAAATCGGTACCTAATAATGTGACCAAATACTATGACCAGATAATAAATTGTGCTGCAAACAACATGTCTGGTATTTGTAGAGGTCTCTGCATACATTTTTAGAGCTTTAGATGATTTGCTGTATTTTTTATTCATGTAAAGTGTAATTCCAAATAAGAAATTCTGAGTGTATGTAGTCCCCAAAGCAGACCATCTGTTTCTGAAACCTTCCCCTGAGGTAGGTGAGCAGCTTCTGTGTGTAGATGAAATATGGCTGCCATTTATAAAGCTTGTTCTATGTTTTCAGTGTCATGAAATCCCAGGCTCAGAGAGATATCTCTGCAGTGAATCATTGTGTAAGATACAAGAACAACAGGCTTCTACTCAGGGGATCAGGTGTCAGAGGGCCTGAGATAGCAGACAATTCATTAACTTGATTTAGAAGACTAAAAGTAGAGAAACTTGAGAGAGGAATTTTTTAAAAAGGGCTCAGATAAAAGTACAAAGCCTGTTACTGTGAACATGGACAGAGGTGATAGGAAGAAGAAATGAGACATAAGAAATAACTGGTAATTCTTAGTCGAAAAGATTGAATCAGAAAATAGTTTGGAAAGTTTTGTCATTAAAGGTATCTCTATATAAATTAGTCCCCAGAGAAAGAGAATCAAATAAGTTTGAAACTGAATAGGGTGACATAAATGTAATGTTTTAGTAAGGTGTGAAATGGCATTTGTGGCTATTACCTAGATAGTACAAGCATTTACCTGGATAAAAAGAGACAGATTAAATAGAAGGAATGAGAAACTTGGGTACTCTGTTAGCAAGCTGAATTGGTGGGAAAAACCTGAGGATGGAAACAATGTGGAGAAATTTTAGCTGCAGATACACAGAGGGCAGAATGGAAGTGATATTGTTGAGTTCTTTGAGAATAGGTCCTTCAGGACACTGAAGACTAGTTTTGCAGGTGACATCTTTATCTTGGAAGACATTGCTCCCAGGCACGTTGGGAAATCCTGGGCTGACAACCCTTTCCTTGATCAAGAAACTTGTGATCACTTCTTAATCTCCCTTCTCATCCTTTAGGGCCTTACCTTACTCTAGTCCAGCTTTCTTCTTTTTTCTTTTCAGCGCTTAAGTTTCCTTCTCCAGCCACCTCTTCCTGGATCTCCATGACTTTTCAACAGGGCCAAACTAATCCTATGTAACCTTCTGTCTTCCCACTGTCTTCTGTGCCAGCCTCAGCTATCCCTTCCTTTGCTTTCCTCATGACGTTGTATCTGAGTTGCCTAAACAACTCATGTTTCCATGTACTAGCTTCCACTGCTTAGTTCAATGATTTCCACATTCCAAAGAGTGGTATTTCCTGTATGCTGTGCTTGGATGTGTTAATATCTGATATGGTTTGACTGTGTCCCAACCCAAATCTCATCTTAAATCATAGTAGGAGGGACCTGGTGGGAGGTAATTGAATCATTGGGGTGGTTACTTCCATGCTGTTCTCATGATAGTGAGAGAGTTCTCAGGATATCTGATGGTTTCATAAGGGGCTTTTTCCCTTTTGCTCAGCACTTCTTCCTGCCATTATGTGAAGAAGGACGTGTTTTGCTTCCCTTTCTGCAATGATGGCACGTTTCTTGAGGCCTCCCCAGCAATGCAGAACTGTGAGTCAATTAAACCTCTTTCCTTTAGAAATTACTCAGCCTTGGTCAGTTCTTTATAGTAGCATGAGAATGGACTAATACAACATCCCTCCCTGCTTGTCTAGTCCTCAATTCTGGTACCATGTCACCTGAATTCTGTTCATGTTCTCATTTATACAGAATCACCTACTATGGGCAGGTCAATGGCTTGTTTCTGTTTCATGGCATCTTCTAGCTATGGAGAGCTTAGGTCTCAGACTTCAGAAGTAGAACTTGGTTTGCCTTGTGCATGGACACTTTAGTCTATGGCCACCACTAGTTAAGAGCAGATTAACCCTGCAAGGCTAGCTTCATAGACACCTCACTTTTTCCTGAGTGGTGCTGTCCTTAGTGTCTTAACACTTAAACACACTATGATATTCTGATATACTTGATCAAAGGAAAATATTATATACTTTATTCAAGTAAAAATAATTGTTGGGACAATGGATAGTTGAGAAATGAGTGAGATCCTCTGTATAGAATTAAAAATTATAGAGGATGTAAAATGAGAGCTGTCCAGTGAAAAAGCTATGGACATTGAATGGTGCCTAAAGATAGAAAGGACTCAGTTGAGAGCCAAGAACATTTGGCATCTTAGATTTCCAGAAAGATTAGAAAGAGAAGCTGTGAGTATGCAAAACCATTATGTCCCTACTGAATAGCAAGTTAGAAAAGAACCCATTTTTCACTAAGAAAGTATATTGCATTTCATAAATAAGGGAGACATTCTTGGCACTTTTTTGTAGTTTTTTTGTAGTTTTTTTTGTTTTTTTTTTTTTGCCAAGTACAAACCAAATTAACCAGGATCTCACAGAGTGGGACTGTTGGAGGCGGCAAACCAGGGACCTGACTTTGGCGGCCAGAATGAGGCCCTGGGGCTGTGTCTGAAAGAAGAACCAACAGAAATGTGACCACATCACTAAGTAATGAACTGGTCACGAGGCAGATACCATGTTAACCAACCTGGAGATGCCAGTACACACACATGTGCATGAGCACCAGTGTTCATTGGATAAGCTATCTATGGAAGGTCTCTTTCCCAACAGACAAAGAGCACCTTCTCTTTTTTTGAGACAAGGTCTCACACTGTCAGGCTGGGGTGTAGTGGCACAATCATGGATCACCGCAGCCTTGATCTCCTAGGCTCAAGCTGTCCTCCCATCTCAGCCTCCCGAGTAGCTGGGACTATAGGCACTCACCACCACACCTGACTCTTTTTTTTCTATTTTGTAGAAATGGGGTCTTGCTGTGTTGCTAGGGCAGGAGATCCTTCTTTTGAGTATGCATCAGTTCCAAAGCTCCATTTGCCACATCCTGAGGCAAAGATGGTTCTTCATTTCTTTTCAGATTTGTGTTTCTGTAGAAAAAAATGAAACAGTTAAGAACTTCCTTTGATTTTTCAATGCTAATTGGTTTGCATACAGTGCCTGACATCATATATGTATTTGTTATAGGCTGACTTGTGTCCCCCAAATTCATGTGTTGAGATCCTTAACCCCCCAGTACCTCAGAATATGACCAAGTTTGGAGATAGGGTTTTTACATAAATAATTAAGTTAAAATGAGGCTAGTAGAGTGGGCACTAATCCAGTATGAGTTGTGTCCTTATAATCAGAGATTAGGACAGACATACACAGAAGGAAGACCATGGGAAAACATAGAAAGTAGACTGCCATCTACAAGCCAAAGAGAGAGATCTCAGAAACCAACCCTGCCAAAACCTAGATCTCAGACTTCCAGCCTCCGGAACTGTGAGAAAATAAATTTCTGTTGTTTAAGCCATCCGGTCTGTGGTATTCTGTTTGGCAGCCCTCACAAACTAATGTGGTACCCGATAAATATTTGCTGAAGTTGTTTATTTCCTTTTTCCTTACAGACTGAATTGGAAATGGCTTTCTTTGTTGTCATGCCGGGCAGAAATCATGCTTTCCATAGACCTTGTCAGTTGTAGAAGAGCAAAGCAGAATGTTTGCAGATTATTTTCAGCTACTCAAATTGTTCCTAGTTTTTTTTTTAGTAGGATTTTGCTTGTGGAAATTTGACATTTTATTTGAGGCCACACTGGTTCACTTCTGTTTTCTCCCAATTCATTTCACATTGCAACCACATCAACTGTGCTGGAGACTGTGTTATTACAATGATTTGACCTTAGATTGAGGTTTCTGTTGCAAAACCAGCTGAAGAGGTCCTAAATGTGGAAAGCAGATGTTTCTCTTCTGGCATGTCTTGCAGAATTATCTGGCAAGAGAATATCTTCTGTGAAGAAAATGCTTGAGAAATGTCATGCATTTGGCAATGATTAAGAAAGAAAGGTAAACCTTCAACTCTTTGTTCTTAAAAGAATTTGGCTTGTTAGTTAGTGGGAAGACAACTAAGATGCAAAGAGCTTTTCTGCTCCTTTAAGAAATTTGTTTTCTTTTCTAGTCTTTTGATTCTTCATAAGGCCAGAATATACTTTCTCGGGGACAACTGATGAAAACACGATTTAGTGGCTCTTAGAGATTTAGCATACTGATGTCCAAGAAGACGTTGTTGTTTTTAAAGTATCGAAAGACAGGTCTTCATTTGGACTGCTATACAAAAATTCCATAAACTGGGTGACTTAAACAACACTGTATTTCTGTCTCCCAGTTCTGGTGGCTGGAAATTTGATATCTGGGTGCCAGCATGGTCCAGTTCTTGATGAGAACTCCCTTCCTTATTTGCAGCTGACTGCCTTCTTGCCCTACCCTCAAATGGGGGAGAGAGAAATCATCTCTCTCATGTCTCTGCTTATAAGGATACAAATCCTATCATGAGGGTATGACTCTACCTTCATGACCTAATTATCTCCCAATGACCCCACCTCCAAATATCATCACAATGAGGATGAGGTTTCTGCATATTAATGGTGGGGGCACCAACATTCAGTCCATAACTAGGCGAGTGCCAACTAGTTAGTTTCTTGTCTTTTTTCTGTGCCATATGGAGGCTCTGCTGTACATCTTCTGAGATCCCATAGTTACTATATTAAAAAGTAACATTCCAATGAGAATGTGAATAGCTTTTATTATATTACCTCTGATCTGGTGTGAAGATGCTTTCAAATAGATTTAAGAAATTACTCATTAAAAGGATATTTTGCAAAAGGAATTGCCAGTTGATTAAATCATACTAGGTATTAAATTTTGCCTCATGGAAAAACAAACTTCTTTGACAAAAATAATTTCTTAATTAAAGCCATATTTTTTCATATTAATAATGTTGCTGTATAATTATAATGTTTTAATTTTACAATGTTTTTATAATTAAAGGACTTAGTAAAATCCATATTCCTGTATATGTTTGAACAACCAGAGATACAGAAATGGAAAAGGGAAAGAAAATCCAGGGAAGGGAACATTATTTAGAAAGGAAGCCTG